CCAGCATCCCATATGGTCCCCTGAGCACCACCAGGAGTGATTCCTGAGTGCAGAGCCAGGAGTAACCCCTGTGCATCGTCGGGTGTGACCCAAAAAGCAATAAATAAATAAATAAATAAATAAAAATAAAAAAAAATAAAAAATGAATCATAACACGCACACAGAAAAAGTGCTAAAACTGAAAGCGAATTGTCACAAACTGAACCTACCTGTGAGACAACACTCTCGCTTGCAAAACATTGGCAGCAGGTTCTGGATGAGGGAGTGGCAGGCAAGCCAAGACCTCGGAACGGTGCTGAAAGGGGGTGCCAGAAGGTTCGATCATTAAAATAAGGCTTTTAATGCATATTCTCTGTGTGTGTGCGCGCACATGTGTGTGTGAGCGTGCATGCCTGTGTGTGTGAGTGAGCGCGTGCATGCGTGCGTGTGTGCGTGTGTGTATGTGTGTGTATGCAGTAAAATAAGTTTATTTAGAGAAACATAAAGAGAGGAGTTAGAAAGTCACATGATTTGGCAGACAGGCGACAGCCAGTAGGCGCTTCCCTTGCCTTGCCTGGCACCCAGCTGACCCAGGTTCCATCCGCTGCCACCCCATATGGTTCCCTGAACCCACCAGGAATGATCCCTGAGCACAGAGACAGGAGTAAGCACTGAGAAGCTCTGGGCGTGCCCCACCCTCCAAAAAAAAAAAAAAAAGAGAGAACACAGATTTCTCTGGAAGGGAGAGAACCAAATACATATCCCTGGTTGAGATCAGGCAAACTGCCTAGGTAAGAGAATGTGTCTAATGCTATCTCTCTCTATATATATATTTGGTTTTGGGGCCACACCTGGTGGTGGTCTTGGCTCTGCACTCCTGGTTGGCTCAGGGAGCAAAGGGGGTGCTGGGGTTTGAATCTAGGTTGGCCATGTGTAAGGCAAGTGCCCTAACCACTGTACTATCTCTGACCAGGCAATATATATATATATATATATATTTTTTCTTTTTGGGTCACACCCGGTGATGCTCAGGGGTTATTCCTGGCCCTGCACGCAGGAATCACTCCTGGCGGTGCTCGGAGGACCATATGGGATGCTGGGAATCAAACCCGGGTCAGCTGCGTGCAAGGCAAATGCCCTACCCGCTGTGCTATCGCTCCAGCCCCCATGCAATAATTTTTAAGGTCAAAATTAATGCAATTCAGTCCACAATGAAAAAAACTGTCATTTGTCAGTGCTGACAGTCATTCCTAGAGGTTCTCACTAACCAGGTTAGTGACAGCGTGAGGGCCTGAGGATGCAGTGCTGTTCGGACCCTGTGGTGCCAGGGATTCCCCAGTGCACCCAGTGCAGCTGGAGACTTCTAGGGCTGCACCTTGTGATGCTGGGGGACCAGGCAGTGCTGGGGACCAAACCTGGGTTGGCTGCATACAAAGCAAGCTCCTTTAAGCCTCGTACACTCTTGGGCCCCAAATATCACATTTTAAACTAAAGACAGCCTTAACAACAGCACCGTGGGGAGTCAGAATAAAGCTGAGGTCCAAAGGAAGACAAACTCATCACATTGCTGCTAATCCCAGCCTACCCCCAGCCCTCACGTCAGACCCACATGATCGTGGACCTCCATCTTCAGTGGACTACTTTCCAGACACCCCAACTCACAGGTAGGTCCTCCTTGTTTTTGAGCTGTGTGTACAGAAAATTATGCTTTTTGTACATGGTCGTGTCATACGGTTTCCTGAACCCCACACCCACAGGCTGTCTGGGGTTTTGCCAGGATCTTGCATGCCACGGCAGGATGCTGAAACAAGGAGGAGCTGTTGGGCACTGTAGAGACCTGAGCGGGGGCAGGTGTGGGGAAGGAGCTCAGGGGTCTTTGGGAAGGGCAAAATTCAGAGGACTGGCTGGATACAAGAATGAGGAAGGGCGAGGAGTCATCAAAGATGCCAGATCTGGCTTGGGTAACTTGGTGGATTAAGGAGTCATTTCTGAGCTGGGGACCAGGAGGGATAGGGAAGACAGTGAGCTAGAGTGCTAGCTCAGCGGTAGGGCATTTGCCTTGCATGCAGCCAGCCTGACCAAGCCAGGTTCGATTCTTCCACTGCTCTCAGAGAGCCCGGCAAGCTACCGAGAGTATCTCGCCCGCGTGGCAAAGCCTGGCAAGCTACCTGTGACGTATTCGATATGCCAAACACAGTAACAACATATTCGATATGCCAAATATAGTAACAACAAGTCTCAAAATGGAGACATTACTGGGCCCGCTCGAGCAAATCGATGAACAACGGGAGGACAGTTGTTTGTTTGTTGTTATTCTTTTGGTATGTTTGGGAACCACATCCAGCAGTTCTCAGGCTTACTGTGCTCAGGCATGACTCCTGGTGAGCTCAGGGGACCATAAGGGACGCTGGGGATCAAACCCAGGTTGGCTGGGTGCAAGATGAGTGCCTTACCCACTGTACTCTCCCTCCACCCCATCGTTATTGATACTATTTTGGTTTGGGGGACCACATCCGGCAGTGCTGGGTACTCAGGGGTGACTCCTGATAGCAGGGATCAATCCTAGGCGTCCTGCATAGAAAACATGTGCTCTAGCCATTGTGCTATCTCTCCCACCCCAGAATGTTGCTTTTTAAACCTGGCTGAGTATAGGTGCTGGAACGATAGCACAGAGGGGAGGGCGTTTGCCTTGCATGTGACCGGCCCAGGTTCAATTCCCAGTATCCCATATGGTTCCCTGAGCACCACCAGGAGTAATTCCTGAGTGGAGAGACAGGAGTAACCCCTGTGCATTGCCGGGTGTGACCCAAAAAAGAAACAAAAACAAAAACAAAAATAAAAAAAACAACAAAAACCAAAACCAAAACAAACAAACAAACAAAAACACCTGGTTGAATATAGCCAAAGGAGGGTGGTATTCCAGAAAGAAGAAGAGGTGGTTCCTTCAGTACCTCCAGTGCTGAAGAGGCAGGGGAGGCCCCATCTTCATTTCAGAGGCTGGGATGGAGGAGCAAAAGGGATAGAGAGGGGCTGGAGCAATAGCACAGCAGGTAGGGTGTTTGCCTCGCACACAGCCGACCCGACCCGGGTTCGATTCCCAGCATCCCATGTGGTGAGTGTGGAGCCAGGAGTAACCCCTGTTTATTGCCAGGTGTGACCCAAAAAGAAAAAAAAAAGCTGAAAAGTGCTCTGGAAGGTGTTTTGAACTGATGTGCAAAACAGAATGAAAATAGTAAACAGAGGAAGGACATCAGCCCACTTGGCCTTCCAGGAGTCAATACCATGTTTACCTGCAGAAGATTTGAATTGCAAAACACCCAGCAGACCAGGAGCACTCTGGGCTCAGCCACTGCCACACGCCCTGCAGGGCCCCCCCCCCCCCCATCACCTTACCTCATCCGCAGCTGACTCAGCAAGGCCGCCAGAGACGCTTTCCTTTAAAGGCAAAAAAAAAAAAAAAAAAGGAAGAGAAGCTTTTCCCTGGGCAGCTTACTCATTCTTGCCTGACACCAGTGCTCAACTACCCCGCAGCGCCACCCCAAACAGAGCCGCGCGCGTGCTTTCAGACACGACCCAGCACCAGCATCCGCCCAGCCACCTGGCACTTCCCAGCCAGCCCCAGAGACTTCTTTTGCATCCGACTGGCTAGGGCTGGTTGGAACCGCTTTGAATCAGACCCAGATGAGTGTGAGTTCTTTCCAAGGCCGCCTCCAGGGACAGAGTTGCCCTGGGAGCTGGGCTCTGGGAGCCGGCAGTGGTCTCTTCAGCCCTCACTCCCACTTAAAGGCCGGTAGGCAGGGGAGGGCAGAAGGTTGACCGTGAGTTCTTCCTTCCCTTAACCCTCCCTGTTCCCATGCCCTGGGTGCACGCTGCTCATTGAGCTCCCCTGCTGTCCTCTGAGGGTCCCACTCTGTCACTTCTCTCACTCAGGTTCCACCCATCTTCATCTTTTCTCTCCCAATCCTCTATACCGAGCTTCTCAACCTTTGTGCCCCAGAGTCTCCTTTCAACCTGGACTCCTTCCTGGGGGCCCCCTAGACTCATGCAATGGTGCCCATTTATGTGATGTTTCGCCTGTGGCTTCCCTTGGAATATTCTGGTAGCCCCCAGGGCCGTATAGCCTCTGACTGAGAAAGGGATTCTCTGTCCTCATAGGGGCTCCTTTGAGCCTGAGAGGTAGCACAGGGGTTAAGGCACTTCCCTTGCACGCAGTCAGTCAACGTGGGTTCATTCCCCCAGCACACCACTTCCACCACCATCTGAACAACCCCCAAGAGTGATCCCTGAGCACAGAGTCAGGAGTAAGCTCTGAGCACAGCCAGGAGCGGCCCAACCTCCCGTCCACCCCCAAAAAGAACAGAAAAGTTCAAAGGAGTTCCTTTGCCTGAGGTTCTGAACTTCTATGACCCCCCACCCACTCCAGGCACCCCAAACTTCCAGTGTCAGAACCACTTTCTTGGGGCTTTCTCTGGAGTTTCCTCCCTGGTCAGGGTGAAATCCTGTTTCCCAGAACTCAACCAACCCAAATTAGACAAGCCTGCTGAGAATCTAACCTCTGATCCAGAATTAAGGGTTTCTGATGAAGTTGCCGCCAACCAGTAGCCTCCAGGGAGTCATAAAACTCTGACAAGAGAGAGTTTGTCAGAGCCGGAATTTCAGACAGGTAATGGGGTCTGTTTGGGCAGGCTTGGTGGGGTGCGGCAAAGATAAAGATGTTTTCCTGGCCACTCAGCTTTGTCTTCCAGTGGCACCTTGGCGACAGGCACAGAATCTGATTGGATTTCTGACACATGAATGAGACTGGTTTATCTGTCGTTGTAGTTTTAATTAAAAAAAAATTGGGGGGGGATTGGAATTATAGCACAGTTGTAGCACAAAGGGCATTTGCCTTGCATGCAGCTACTCAGGTTCAACCCTCAGCACCCCGTATGGTCCCCCAAGCCCACCAGGAGTGATTCCTGAGTGCAGAATCAGGAGTAACCCCTGAGAAGCGCTGGGTATACACCCCCTCATTTTTTTTTTCAAATATGGAATGCTTCACGAATTTGCACGTTATCCTTGCACAGGGGCCATGCTAATCTTCTCTGTATCATTCCAATTTTAGTATCACAAATCACAAATAATCATCCTGTTATTCGTCGATTGCCTCGAGAGCAGGCCCCAGTAACGTCTCCTTCATCCTGGCCCTGAGGTTATATTCAAGGCTCTTTAGGAGAATGAGACCCATCATTGTTACTGGGATTTGGCATATTGGGTACACCACGGGGAGTTTGCCAGACTCTGTCGTGTGGGCAGGCTACATTCGGTAGCCTGCCAGTTTGTCAAAGTAGGAATGAGATGTCATAAGATGTCATAAGATGCCATAAGATGCATTCGCGGCCGCGCGGTTCCGGGAGCTGGTTTTTATAGTCTCAGAGTCTTGGCCGCTGATGGGATTACATGGCACCAGGGGGTATATATGTGCTGATTTTAATATATGTGCTGCCAAAGTGAGCACAACCCCCCCCCCCCTCATTTTTTCACCTCCCTTTCCTGTGTTGCAGAGATGAGTCCAACGGGTTGAACTCCTGCTCTGCAAGCGGAAAACTTGGATTCAATCCCCAGGACTTTAGTCTCTCCAGTACCACCAGGAGTGACCCCTGAGCACAGTACTGAGAGTGGCCCCTAAGTACTGATCAGCGTGGCCCCAAAACCAAAGTGAATAAATAGAATCCCCCTTCCCTGCCCCTGTATCTGCTCTTGTTGGACGATTGGAAGACACAAGGTTGGTTGTGGCACTCATCAGGGGTGGCACATCTGTCTGGGTGCTCCCACACCTGGCCGGTGTTCCCAGGGGTCACACATGCTCGTCACACCCGTGTTACCCTGAGGTCACTCCCTGTGGTAGGGAACCAGAGTCTGGTGCTCCTTGCCGTGCTCTGGGGCCATCACTGCTCCACCCCTTGCTACAGGCTGCCACGCAGTGCTGGGGATTCAACTCAGAGCCTGGTGGGTGTTTTTTTATCCCTTGTGTTATCTCCCCAGTCTCAGCTTGCGTTATCTTTAGTGGTGACATAAACACACCTACTGGGATACATAAATGGTGCACTCTGGTGAGATACCACGGATGGCCCCGAGGACTGCACTTAATATATGTGGGCTGAACTGGGGACCAAACTCAAGGCCTCGTGCTTATGAAGCAGGCACCTTTGCCAATGAGCTATCCTCAGCTCCTAGGACAGTTAATTTGAATAAACATTTTGCGGGGGGAAGGGAGACATACTTGGCAGTGCTCAGGGCTTACCTAGCTCTCTGCTCTGCTCAGGGGTCACTCCTGGATGGGCTTAGGTGACCATATGGGTCAGCCATGTGCAAGGCAAGTGCCCTACCCACTGTACTCTCTCTCTCTCTCTCTGTCTCTCTCTCTCTGGCCCCTTGGATAAAATGTTACACACATCCATGTTTCCCAGCCAGGTGGGGGATATTATACCCATTTTTTTAGATGTGGTTTTTAGGGATCGGAAAAGGGTAATCCGTAATATTTGGCACTAGCAGGAATCCAAGTTCAGAGTCGGAATCCAGATTAGGAATCTGAATCCAGTCCAAATCAGCCGCTTGAGTGCGGTCTAGAGAGTCTTCTGTTGCCTCGAAATATTTTCTGCTGTCTTTGCACATGTTCTCTCCACCAAGAATGGCCTTTCAGGGGCTGGAGGGAAGGCTCAGTGGGAAGGGTGCTTCCCTCGCACACCGCCGTGGCTGAGTGGGGCAGAGCCACAGCCAGGCGTGACCCGCCCACGCGGAGCTTCAACAAGACTGAGCAGGGAAGCGGCAGACCCCACGTGAGGAAAGATGGGAAGAAAGGCAGGAAACGAACAACTCTTCATCTGTTCCTGCCTTCTAGCCCTCCTTCGCTCCTTCATCCAGGCCTATCAGCGGTTGGGGTCCTCCAGCAACATCAGGCGATACACCAAAGGGCAAAGGAGAGATTCCCTCTCGGGAACCTTGGGACTAGTCCCAGGGGCGCTCAGTGTGATCAGAAGAATTGTGACATGTAGAGTCAGGCAGAGGGAATGAACAGGAGTGAGTTGCAACAATAGCAAGTGCCTGAGTTTAGGGACAGTGGCATAAAGCCTTCAGGGCCAGGCTGGGGCCCATCCCTAACATTGTTAGACTATGAGCAGGGGCCTGGAGTAGCGGAGCAACTGCAGGCCTGCGGGCAGGTGGGAGCCAAGGAGGACGGGGAGGAATCAGGAGGACGTGGTGTAGTTTCAAACCAGAGAAGGCGGCCCCAAACTTTTCAGGCTGAGTGGCCGGGCCATCAGAGAAGTAGGAGTCAAGGCCTGCTTTCCCTCCTGGGGGTCCCTACACGGTCAGGTTGCATCTGGGCCTGCTCTGTACACACAGTCTAATGCCAGGTTTCCAGGGATCTTGTGCTCAGCTTGGCCTCTTCACTGCTAAGAGAAAGGCCCGCCCTCACAGCAAGGGACCCTCAGTTTGCCCTCAGGATAATGGCCAGGCCTTTGTCCTGGGGGCCTCTCCCTGCCTTGTGTAAGGTGCTCACCTGGAAATAATACTGTGAAATCAGAACAAACCAGGTGCACATCCAAGTGAACTCAAGGAGTGTGTTTCGGAGTGTCAGCGGTACTAGGGGCTTTCAGCAGTCTGGGGGGAAATTCTGACTCGTGCGCGGGCAGGAAGGAGACTGGAGATATCCGTCCCTTTACCTGGGAGAAAACCTGCCGGGGTCCTGGTGTGCCCGATACTAGAGGGGGTGGGGGGCAGCTCAAACTCAAGGCCGCTTGAGAAGTGAGATCAGTCCTGGATGCACGAGGGCCGTCGGGGGTGGAGGAAGGCTTCACGGAGGAGGTGCTGCTGGCAGTCACGCTCAGAGAAGGGATGCGTCAAGGGATTGGCAGGCAGAGGGCCCGGCAGAGCGGGACGCGGAGCCAGGGGAGACCTCGGACCCCGGCTTCTCCGATCGCCCCGCGGTTCCCAGCACCGGAGAAGAATCCCAACTAGCCGGACCTTGCTTCTCCCCGGAGGTGGCCCGATCGATCCTCCCGCGGCCCGGCCGGACTCGGCGAGTCCCCGAGGAGGGGCGCGGCGGGAGCGCGGCAGAGGCCCGGGCCGCGCCACCCCGTCGCCGGGCGGCCGTCGAGGGCGCTCCCGGGGCCCGGCCGCCCCGCCAGGACGCCCCCCGCCCCCGGGAGCGCGGGGAGCCCGCCCGGGGCGCTCGCCCCCGGCCCGGCGCGCGAGGCCACGCCCCCCGGAATTGCACCCACCCCCCACCCACCCCGGAGCCCTCGGCTCCGCCCCCGGCCCCGCCCATTTCCACCCCCCGCCCCCCACCGACCACACGCACTGGCCGCCGCCAGCCCGTGGCCCCGCGCCTTAAAACGCTCCGGGCGGGCTCCGGGGCCACTCGAGCCGCGGGAGTCGGGAGCAGCCGGCGCGGAGTCTCGCAGCGAGCGGAGCCGCCCGTCCGCGCACCCGGCGCAGCCAGAGCCTCCGGCGCCGCGCGGCCATGGAGCCGAGCAGCAAGGTGAGCGCCCGCCCGCCCGCCCGCCCGAGGGGCCCCGGAACAAAGGCGCCGGCCGGCCGGCCCGAGCCGCCCCCCGCGCCGCGCGCCCCCGGCCCGGCCTGGCGCGGCGCTCGGCGGGGAGGCGGCAGCGCGCGCGCGGGGATGCGGGGCGCGCCGCGTGCGGCTCCCGCGCCCGCGCCCAGGGGCCCGGCTTCCTTCCGGGGGCGCCGCCGCGCTGTCCACGCGGCCCGGCGCCGGGGCCCCGCGCCCCCGGGCCGGGGTGGCCGCCGCACGTCGCTCACGCACCCGGGCCGCCGCGCTCCTCCCGGCGCGGGGGAGGGGGCCCGAGCGCGGCGCCCATTGGCTGCGGAGGGCCGAGCCCCCAGCCCGGCCCCGGCTCCGGCGCCGCCGCGAGGAGGCGGGACCCGCCCCCACTCGGCCGGCGGCCGCGCGCGCCCCCCGCCGCCGGGCACCCCCGGCACCCCCGGGACCCCCGGGACGAGCGGCCGCGCGGGGCCCACGCCCGAGGCCCTGCTTTTGCCCGGCGGTGCAGGCCCCGAGCCTTGGCCGCGCCCCCGGGGAGATGCGCTCCGAGGGGGTCCCGGGAAGGGGCCGCCGGGGGGGATCCCCCCTCGCGCGCGCGGGGAGCGCTTCCGTCCCCCGTAAGTGGGGCTTGTCCTGCGGCGCAGTCCTTGGTGGTTTTTTTCCCTAGTGGCCCCTTTGGGCGAATGTTTCTGAAGCCCCCCCTTGAGCGCCAGGCACGGGTTCTGGCCTCTCTTCCCCCTGCAAAGAATCATTTTCAGGTCCCTCTTGGGGTTGGGGGGCGAGGTGGGGTGGGAGCGGGGGATCCTTGAATTTTCCCATCTTGGCAGTGAATTTCCACATTTTTGACGTGGGGCCGGGCGGAACTCTGCACTTCCCGTCCGCCGTCTGGGGGGTTTCGTGGGATGGAGCAGGGGTCTTGGCTGGGCAGACCTGCGCGTAAAGGTGCCCGGCCGGCAGCGGCAAAACTTGGACCTGTAGAGTCCGCACAACTTGGTGCTCCCACCCTGGCCCCGGGTCTGGCTCAGGGAGACCCGGCGGAGCCGTGAGCACATTGTCCGACCATCCTGGGGGGAGCTGTTAGGCCGAGATGGAACGAACTAGAAATTAAACCAGTTGCGATTGGGCCGGAGCAGTGGGATCTCTGTGATATTATGAGGATAGCTTCTTCACTTAGGGCTGGCCCGCTGGGTGTTATGTTTTCGTTCGTTTTGGGCGTTTTTGTTTTGTCTGGGGGGCCCACACCCTGCATTGCTTGAGTGGTCCTGCTCCACGGTCCCAGGGATGGAACCCGGACTTCCCGCTGGCAAAGCATGTGCTCAATCCCTTGAGCATCTCTCTGACCCAGGACCTGGGTGTTTACTTGCTGAGAGGGTAAGTGAATATTGGGAGTGGAGGCGGAAAAGTGCAGGGGAAATCAGCAGGCACTTAGGGCTTCCAGGCTCTTGGCTGAAATACTTTTCAGACCCTGACCTTTCCCAGCAGGCTGCTGACGGGAAGTGTCTGAAGTTCTCCAGCCAGTGAGGGACTGACGGGGATTTGACCAATCCAGTCAGAAATAATTTCAGGGGCCAGAGCCTTTTTTTTTCCCCTTTTGGGTCACACCCAGCGATGCTCAGGGGTCACTCCTGGCTCATGCACTCAGGAATTACTCCAGGCGGTGCTTGGGGGACCATATGGGATGCCGAGGATCGAACCTGGGTCGGCCGCGTGCAAGGCAATCGCCCTACCCGCTGTGCTATCGCTCCACCCAGGGCCAGAGCCTTTGTGCAGGGCTCTTGTACATGGCCAACCCAGGTTCGATTCCCAGCACCCATTATGGTCCCCAGAGCCTGCCAGGAGTGATCCCTGAGCGCAGGACCAGGAGTAAGTCCTGAGAACCAACAGACGTGGCCCCAAAACAAAATAACAAACAAAGAGATTTCAGTCACCGGCTTCCCTTTCCGCCACAGGCTTTCTTCGATTTGGGGTTGAAGGTGAGGAATGTCACTCACTCAGGCAGCCCTCTTGCACACCCCTTCTGAGTGCTTAGTGGGCGGGTGTTTGCATGAAACACCCTCCAGACTTGACTGTCTGCCCCGCTGAGCGCTAATTTTGGAGTGCCTTCCTCGTGCTTATATGTTCGTGTTATATTTGGAGATTCTCTGCCTATGGGCAATAGAAATTTCAAATTTCGCACGCTTGGCATGTGCCCCTGTGTGCCATCCCTATCCCTGTCCAGCACTACATTGGGAGTGACGGCAGCGCACGGTTAGATGTGGTCCCCTCAAATAAAACCAGGGAGTGGAGAGAAGGCACAGGGCATTTGCTTTGAACATGGCTGATTTACCTTCTCTCCCCATCATCACGTATGATCTGAACACTGCCCAAAGTAGGGAGCTGACAGATGGTGTCACCATACCTCCCCCCCTGGGGGCTCCCTCTTGCTCCCCCGCAGGCAAGGGCCAACGCAACCGTAGTAGGAAGAGGTCTCTGAAAGTCCTGTGGATGGCTTTTGGGTTCCAGCTTAGCTCAGTTGTCTCAGCTCCACAATGTTATTTTCATTCTCTGTTTGAAAATTAAAGGGGAAGTGTCTATCCCCCCACAGATACTCGGAAAATAGCCTTTCATCCTGGATTCCCAGGATGCACTGCACTTACCTGGGGCCCTAGGAGAACTGTGCCAGGGTGGCCCGCCTCCCCAGGTCAGAAGTCTAGGATTCTGGTAACCTGAGCCCCACGATGTCCAGGCCAGGAGTGTTACCTGGTGGGTAAATCCGTCAAGTTTCCACTGCTGGCCAATTCTCCTGCGAGGGCTAGTCTGGGTGAGAATTCCAGGCTCCCAAGAGGAGGCCGCCCTGCTTCTAAGAGATACACGTGCCTGTGACATCGTAAGGCAGTGCCGAGTGACTTCCTAAGGTCACCCACAGAGCCTCCCACTGCAAGAGCGACCACCAGCTTTTGCTGGGATGACATAGAGGAGAATGGAAAGTCAGAAAAATAGAAGAGGAAGGTGCTTTCAGACCAAAGAAGATAGGATAGTGAATAAGTATTCTTGCTTGTATCTGACCAGGGTTCAATCCCCAGGACCACGTATGGCTTCCCAGTCCCCCAGCACTGCCAGGATTGAGTTGAGCGAGGAGTAAGCCCCAAATGTTGTGCCCCCCCAATTTTTTATTCTTAATTTTTTTTTTTGATTTCTGGGTCTCCCCCAGCGATGCTAAGGAGTTAATACTTCTGGCGGAGCTCAGGGGACCATATGGGATGCTGGAGATTGAACCCAGGTCCGCCACCTGCAAGGCAAACTCCCTACCCGCTGTACTGTCGCTCCAGCCCCAAACAAGTTTTTTAAAAGTAATTTTGTAACTCCTGCTTTTTTTTTTTTTTGATAGGAGGGGGTGGTTTGGGCCACACCCAGCAGTTCTCAGGACTCTCTCCTGGTTCTGTTCTCAGGGATCACTGTTGGCAGAGCTCTAGGGACCTTGGTGCCAGCGGTCAAACCCGAGTTGGCTGCATGTGCCTCAGCTCCTTTACTATCCCTCTGGCCCTGGCAACGCTTCTTTTGATTGGGGGGTGGGGGGTGCGCTGCCGGCCACATCTAACAACGGTGCTGGGGGAAGGGTGGCAGAAGGGGGCCCTCTGAGGCAGCTCCCCAGCCCCACCCCATGCCTTTGTTTTTCATGCCACCTTCCACTCACCCCTCTGTGCAGGAATCTCCAGATGTCAGGACTTTGTTGGCTCTTTCTGGGTGTGCTGCAGAGCTTGACAACTGAAACCCTCTGTGAATGGAAACAAAAGGTGTCCTCACAAAACTGTGACCTTGGGGAAGTGGCTTTCCTCGGGAGCCCTGGTTTCCTTCCCTGGAGGACCCAGGGAGGTTGGCTGCCACCTCTGGTGTGGTGAGCCTGGCCCCGACCCTCAGTCCAGTCGGTGGTGGGATTCTAAGTTGGAAAGACCCTTTGGGTGGACATGTAACCGTCTCCATGACGATCCTGGCTTCCTGTTGAGCCATTCAGGACCCTGCTTTCTCCAAGCTGCGCCAGCCTCAATCGGAGTTACACTTTTTCTAGCTCCCAGGGTGACATCCATCCCTGCCCGCCCCTCCCAAAGTCTCCCCGCCTCCCTAAGGCGCACCCGAGCACTCCAGGCGGGCAGAGCCAGGGCAGCTTGGAAACAAAGGGGGAAGTGTACCCACTGGCTGGGGACCTGCAGCCTCCCCCCTCCCGCACTCACTCCTAGGCAGAGGTGACAAAGCCACTCAGTTCGGGAACTGGCATCCCCTGGATGGTGGAGCCGAGGAGGCTTCTGCGCGGAGAGACCGTGTCCTCGCTGGCAGGCCCAGGCCTGGCCACTAGCACAAAAATCCAATTGTTAAAAAAAAAATCCAATTGTTAGCTCCCTCTGTGGGAGGGGTGCCGTGGAGCCACCCCTCCAGCCACCAGGCCCGGGAGGTAGCAGCCACTGCTAGGACATGGGGGTCCGGCTGTGCCCGAGCCGGGGCTCCTGGCCTGATGCTTCTGCAGAATTGGGAAGTGTTCTTCCTCTCCAGAACCTCAGCACTACCACCCCACTGGGGCACTGGTTTCCTGCTGTGCCAGGGCCCCTGCACCCGGGATGTGGGGAGAGCGTGGCCCAGATCTCTCGCAGCTTACGGAACCTTTGGGAAAACTGAGCCCCTGCGGGACACATGTGCCCCATGCCCCAAGCTCGTCTTCTCCCCCAGCCCGGCATCTGGGATCTGGGAGATGTTTTAAGGGAAACATCTCTGCCATTTGACCCCAGGCTGACACCCGCCTGTCGCCTGTCAGAGCTTGCCTCAATCATTGGAGTCCTTCCACTGCTCTGGGTCGGGCTGTGTAGGTTGGTTTGGGGCCACACCCGGCTGGTGCATAGGGCTTACTCCTGGCTGTGTGCTCAGGGGTCACTCCTGGTGGGCTCGGGGGATTGTAGGTGGTGCCGGAGATGGAAGCCAGGCCAGCGGCATGCAAAGCAATCGCCTTT